CCCAGAAAAGGCACCACTGACCGGAACAGCTATGAAATGAAGAATGAAAATGGCATGAATATGGCTACGCTACTGGAAGGCGTCCCGAATGTGATTGGTTTAGTGATGTTCTACCAGCAGCCGCATCAGTTATCAAAAAATAAGTGAAAAAAATTTACGTCAAAATTTGGATCGACTGGTTCAGCAAATGGATTTGGAAAATTGCTTTCGCCAGGCGAATAATCGAGCAGCTGTGAGGGCAACGCCGAAGTTATCATCACTGTACTGGTACTTGGTATAGCGGCACTAGTGGTTGCCATAAGTTTGGACCAGTCGGACGCAAACGAATCAGCTTCGGAACTGGGGTTATCCAACGAAAGTAGCTCCATCAGGTCAGATGCATAGCGATTTTCTGAAGAATGAATTTTTGAAGTTAACTTGACAAAAATAGCTTTTAACAGTCAGAGCGGTATTGCTCAGCCTACATGGCGTGCTTTCAGTCAGTAAAATAATTTGGTACTGATATCCACCCGGGGTAATCACTCCGTGTATCTTAAATTAGTGATGTTACTCATACGCCGATCGCAGCCATGCCAGGTTGTTTAGGCCCCGAGCTGAATACCTCCAGTTAGCACCCACCGCCTCTTACTCGAAGTATGCGCAAAGGGAAGAGATAATAAGATAGAAGAGAAATTTTATTGTAGAATTTCTGTCCCAAACTTACCGTCTCGTTTCGGTTTCCAGCCCGGTGGCGGAGGTATAGCAGGCACATCGGCATTTTCTACTTCTTTCGCTGGAAGCGGTCCGATTGGAACCAACATCTCATCCGCTGGCTTATTGCTACTCTCAGCTACATTCTGCAACTCGTTCGGTTGGCCCAGCGGACTATCCAGACGTAAGTCCAGTAATCCTTGAGCATTGAGGTTCTCCAGGTCATGTAAAACATCTTCCATTGCCTGCTCACGTTCATCGAGTTCGATTAAGCTAAAAACAGCGAGGACGAGGCTTCAGATTTCCTAAGAAATTTGCACAAACAGTACCGGCTAGTTCACGTTTTTAGTGGAACTTAAAATAAACCATGATACTTGAATCAGCTTTAATTCACAGTTCGATTCGTCAACTTAGCAGCCGGTAACTTTTGCTATTACTTTGACCAGTGGTGCACTGTTCGGAGATCAGCATTCTTCCAGACGTCCTGAACATCCGTTTCTCCTTCTGCGCGGTCAATACGGCACATCATCGTGGTCTAGGAAAGGCAGCGTACTCGGTACACACACTAAAGTCATCTTAAAGCTTAGCCCGGTATCTATCATCTTCTTCTGCAAACGAACGAAACCAAAACATATGATCGTGCCGGTAATTTGACCTCTCCTACGAAGACAGTTCTTGAGGATCTTCTTTTTCTGAAAA